AACCCGGGGAGCCGTAAATTTCAGTTGAACTATTCTGGGGGAATTAATGAAAAATGAGGAAAATTCAGAAAAATCTCTTCTTGAATTACAAATTGCTCTGAATTTTTAGGGGATTCCTTCAAAAATTCCTGGGATTTCAAGAATTTTAAAGAAATTGTCTGAAAATTCAGTGATGCCGCGAGACCAGGAGACCATTCTCTCGTCTTGTCTCATATCGAAACATGAGAGCAATCGCTTCTCTCGTCTCGTCGAGAATTGAGAGTCTCGTTTCGTCTCGTTGCTGTCATTGTCTCGAATGACTCTTCTCGTCTCGTCTCGTCTCGTCTCGTCTTGTCTTGTCACGTCTCTCGTCTCGTTTGTCTCGCCTCGTTTCGTTTCTCTCGCGTCTCGCAGAATCACTATGAAAATTCAAGAAAATTGGACAGTGAATATTGATTTTCACTTAAAAATTCATGGATACACGAAGACATGAAAGACCTAATTCTCTAGTAAAAGTCCTCTTTGGAAGTCCAAATAATTTTCAAAAAGACTACTCCAGCACTATTTAATCCACATCTGCATCTTCTCCGAAATATCCAATTGATTACACATAATAAAAAAAATATTTCTTTCTTTATTGTCGACAAGCAAATAGTCGGAGCAAATAGTCGGTCCAAATAATTTTCAAAGAAACTACTCCAGCACTATTTAATCCACTTCTGCATCTTCTCCGAAATACCCAATTAATTGTCACACAATAAAAAAAATATTTCTTTCTTTATTGTCGACAAGCAAATAGTCGGAGCACATAATTTTTCGGCAGAACTTATTCTTTCTCAGTGCAGATATGAAAGAGACATATTGTCCTCAATTGTTAATATGAAATGAGCAATTTCCACGAAAAATTCCATTGAAACCTCACAAATATCTCCCAGCGGATGATTTCGGCGGCGCTCGTGGGTCACTTATTCCAGGATAAACAGGCTTTACATAGTTTTGTACTGCAGGCCTTCTATCGATCGTTCAGGATTGTCCTACAGCCGCAGCGGACCTCATGTCACAGATTCGCAACGCGCCACAGCTAAATTCGATGGCATACTTCTCGACATCAGACAGACGTCGAGGGCTCAAGTCCATGCTCTGAATTGTTTTGGTCGGTTTAATCGTATTTCATCATTTTTACTTCAGCCAACTTTGAGGAAGTATAACGGTACGCGAGATGATGCATACCTTAGACTTGATATTTTTTATGATAAATTTCAAAATTTGAGATTTTGTGTCATAAATTTAGCGGAGTCACTACAAAATTGCATCACGTGTGTTGAGCCAACAGGTCGTATAAACACTTCTTGAGGGAATAGTAAATCTCCACGTTTCAGATGATTCTGAGTCATCTGAGCTTAATTTTCAAAGACAATTTTAGAGGTTCAATTACAATGAATAGAGTTCCGGAATTTGAGCCAAAAGATCGGTTAAACGCTTCCTCAGGGAATAGTAAATCTCCACGTTTCAGATGGTTCCGAGTTATCTGAGCTTAATTTTCAAAGACAATTTTACAGGTTCAATTACAATGAATAGAGTTCCTTCCGAAATTTGAGCCAAAAGGTCAGTTAAACGCTTCCTCAGGGAATAGTAAATCTCCACGTTTCAGATGGTTCCGAGTTATCTGAGCTTAATTTTCAGAGACAATTTTACAGGTTCAATTACAATGAATAGAGTTCCTTCCGAAATTTGAGCCAAAAGGTCGGTTAAACGCTTCCTCAGGGAATAGTAAATCTCCACGTTTCAGATGATTCTGAGTCATCTCAACTTAACTTTCGGAAACAATTTTTTTGGTCTGCTTGAACCCAAATAATGGGACCATCTGATGATTCTGAACGATGATGTCAATTATTGTGATAATTAATGATAAATTTTTGATTTTTATTCCAATAAATTCCATCAATTATTTATTACTTACGTAATAATTGAATTTTCATTCTCGTTTAGTGTCATCCGAATCAGTTTCATCTCAATGAATCAATGAAAAAATGAATATTAACTGATTATAATCAGCGACGGAAGTGTCTAAATTTTCCTCATGCCTCCAACGATAAATTCTAGAATTGTCCCGACCACGTGCTCGAGCCTCGAAATAAATATGGCGCTGAAAGCGTCGAGCACTCCCCACCATCAAATGTCCTAACATCTCACAGTACAACTCCAGAAACCCAAAAATAATCTGAGAAGATCTCAATTGCTCGACAAATCGCAAATTGTTGCTGAAATTTCATCATTTTGTACAAGCACTGACATCGCGAAGCACGTGAGGGCAATTTACATAAATACACCCTCTCTCGGGACAATCACGTGTGCAGATATAAAACCACGTTGTCAGACGCCAGCATAATTTTATATCGAATTTTTCCTTCAGTAAATGTCCGTGAAAATTGTAAGCTTCCCTCCGTAAACATTTAAAAATATCAGCTCCAATTTATTGCGGCATTTTAATTTATTTTTATCTAGAATTTATTATGAAATCGTTGCGGAGGAGATAAAGAACAACTGGAGGCTATCACGTGACAGTTCCCTTGAAAAATCTCAAGTGGTTCCGCATATTCATCAGAATGGAAGAATTAATTCATTTGTTTCGTAAAGAAAAATCCGAATCTCTTCAAATTGAAGATTATTTTTCAAGTAATCATTAGGATTCTGTTTTTTAAATACGGACAGCCAAAAAATTATTACAGGAATTTAATTTGGGATAGCGCATCAGCATGGCGAGAGTTTATAAGTAAAATTATCGAATTAGATGCATAAATTCATTTATTTTTTTATTTTTATTTTATTATACACACACATATATATATATATGTGATAGTAGTTGAGCTATGCAGAAAAGATAAACGGGGAAAATATAGTTGAAAAATGGGTTTCACTCAACCCGAAAATCTTGTTTTTCATCTATGAGGTATTCCATGCCAACTGAGTCAACGGCTGACCTTCACCCTCTTGAACATTGATGGCGATTTTTTCTACGATTGAGGGGCTTGAAAAACTATCTTTCAAATTTTTTAAGATTTTTTTGACAGCCCAGTTCGGAAATATGATTTTTTTCAAATTGTTCGTTTTTTTACAATAACTCGAGTTCTACTCATCCGATTTCGATTTATTGGGGGCCAATAAGAACCTACAATTTCTAGTATATTACATAGATGTCTTATGATAATTAATAAACAGTCAGTGGTTTTCACGGCCAATTTTGCGGTCATGACGTCACGAAGACGGTCAGGTAACATATCATTGATCGAAAAAGAAGAGAGTGGGCAGTTGTCGTCATTCATTGGCCGATGCGCACCTCTGGATTGGGTTAGGTTAGCTCGAGCCATTGTGATTGGTCCACCACTCGACCGTCTGTTTGACGTCATTAGCGATTTCAAAGCGCTTGAAATCTTCAGCTTTTAACAATTAAATATGAATTAATGAGCAATATTTCGAACGTTTGTGAATGAAAAATGAATTCAGTAGTGAAGTGGTAAACCGATATAAATCGATTTTGACAATTTCCTAGTTTTCAATGAATATTTCAAAATCTAAGGGAAATAGCCAAATTTTTGTCACTAACTTTTTTATCGAGCAAATTAAGAGCTACAAAAATGGAAATCACAACAGTTTCGCTATTTCCTTTAGATTCCGAGATATTTATTGAAAACTGGCCAATAGTCAAAATCTACTTATACCGGTTTACCATTTCGTTACTGAAGTATTCAGGTCTCAAACTTGAGATTTGAAAATGGAATTCCCTATTCCGACAGACGGCGCTGCGGCATAAGCACTCCCCCCCCCCCCCCTATAAAATCTAGGGGAAATATTTATTCCGTTCATCGAACTGAAAAATTTTGGGAAAAATGATCAGAAATTCTGATAAATATCAACATTTAAGATGATATAGATGTGAGCTCTTAAAAATTATGATTGATAGGGGAGAGTGGGGCAATATGATGAAGCCGTAAAATGACTGATGCAATTCAAGCAAAAAAATGTTTTTTTCGTCAACTTTTTTCATTATTCGAAGTACTGAAGAGCATAATAATAATTTTCTATTCGTCTTATAATTCAATTAATTAGATTAGACCGATTACACTCTTCTTTTTCATTCGATTGAAATTCAGTATTACATTTTCCTTTTTCCCTGAGGAATACTGAAACCAAACGCGGCATCCATCCGGAAGCCAACATTGTCAATAATAATAATAATAATAATAATAATAATAATAATAATAATAATAATAATAATAATAATAATAATAATAATGAAACATTTTAGATGATATAGATTTGAGCTCTCAAAAATGGTGATTGACATGTAGGGGAGGGTGGGGTGAAATGGACACTTTAGGCTTTTTAAAATTATCCATAAATCAGAAACAAATTTATCAATTGAGCTCAGTTTAGGCTCGTCACAAAGGGAAAGAATTGTTCTTTGCATTGAAAAAAAAAAAATTATTAAATTTCATCAACATTTCAACCCCTCATTAACATTTGAAAAAAAGTCAAAAGTTTCCGTTTTACCCCAACCTCCCCTAAATTCAGTAGAAGTGTCCTACACTACTAGGGTCCTAGGGGAATTAACATGGGAAGTGTCCGAACTAGTGACTCTCAGGATGAAAAGGTCTGCTCCCGTGAAAAAAAATTCCACCAGAGTCTGAATTCCCCAGCGTTGAGAACCACCTCCGAACCTCTCACGCAAACCCCGAGGAAAGGTTCTCACCTAGTGC